GCCGGTTCAATCGGGTAGCCGATGTGATCGTGCCGGTGTGGTGCGGGCATGACATGAATGTACCCGACACCCCACGCAATCGGTACTGTGGAGCTGGTACATGAGACACTGAGACATTATGTTGTAGCGTGATCTATAGTGTCCCTGTCGGACAGCGTGACTTTCGCGGTATACCTTTGGAGCGCAATATGTCCTGACACGCCTACCCTGAATGTACAAGGGCTTGTGATCTGATGTTTGTCGATTACTAGTCCCATCTATAGGTAGCCTCAGACATACTATCAAGGAGTACTATACCAGCGCACCGAAACCGACCCTAAAGGTATTCGCTCAACATCTAGTGCATATTGAGTTTGGTTCAACCATAATGTTGTATTGTAGTCTTGCGTACAACTTCCTGAAACCCAGCGTCTCTAGACACGCCACCAGCTCAACCATCCCTCTTCTTCAAGACCTCCATAACAGCCCTACCCACCTCCTCAAACAAGCCCGGCATACAAGCAATCATACCCCAGTTCCTCTCCCCCGTAATCTTTCTTCCATTTGCGAAATCAATCTGTTCGCCCTTGAAATCGCTGATAACGCCGCCCGCTTCCTGGAAAAGGAGATGGCCACCGGCGTGATCCCAGATATACGTGAAGCGGTCTTTAGTCTTTGGGATGCGCACCATGACGTCCGCAGCTCCGAGGGTAAGAGCAACGTATTTCATCTGCTGAGACCAGAGAATCGTGCCTGGCCATTGCGCACCGAGAGTTGTAGCAACGGCGTTGTGTTCGGGCTGGGACAGAGATGTTTTGCCTAGTGTTGCTTCGACAAAGTTTAGTTCTGAGGCTTTCTTTTGGGGAAGCGTAGTCCGGTCTACGTGGCGGGGTTCTCCGAATGCAGCGGAAAGGGAACTGTTCATGGAGCGGATAAAAGTCCCTTGTCCCTTGACAGCGGAGAGTATGACGCCAAAGCCGTCTTTGTCGACTTGGTCCTCGTGGATCGCTGTTTGGCCGAGTACCCCTTGGACAGGGAAGGCGAGGTTGGGACACGCAATGACACCGACTTGCTGTACGCCATCGACTAGCAAACACAGACAAACAGCGTACTGCTGACCCTGCATAAACGTTGCTGTGCCATCCACGGGGTCCATGACCCACGTTCGGCCTCTTCTGGTGATTTCCCCTTTCCCACCCCTATCGATGAGCTCGAACATCTCTTCTTTACTTTTCGGGAAAGCCAGCTCCTCCTTCTGGACAGGGTTTCCGTCCCTCTTCTCGTTCTCGGAACCACCTGCATGAGTCTCGTCCTTCGCCTGTTGCACGAGCTGCCAGACGCGGTCAGCGAGCGTCTCGTTTTGACGCAATGCATCTGCGCTTTCCTCGCCCAGAAACGCGTCTGTTGGGTACACGGCACGCAGGGCGGATATGAGGAGGGCTTGAGCGGCGAAGTCCGCAATAGTCACGGGACTGTCATCTGCCTTTGTCTCCGCAGACACGTTGTTGGATAGGCTCCGGAGAACGGATTTGGTGAGCAATGACGCCCGGTGTACGGCTTGCAAGGCGAGGCGAAGCTCGGCGGAGTAGGCCATGACGGATATCGGGTGATTTTTGGTCGCGATTGCGTGATGGATGTTGTACTGTAGTTGTCTTCTGATGAAGATTTCGCAGTATTAGTCTAAATGAGGTGATGAAACAGTTTTGGCAAGCTACTAGCAAGCGCATAGTAAGCGAGGCTAATAGAGCACTCCACGCGCATTGCGTTCGCAGTACCATGGCTACAAACATGAGGCTCGACGATGTCGCCAACGTCGACAGGCCAAAGAGAAGCCTGGAGTCGTCCCCAGGCGGCGCAACACATGCAAGAGTCATTCGTGGCTGAATGTGAACGGCACAAACGACGAGGCTCGAGTCATGCCGCTAGCTCGGTTCCGGTTGATTTGAGAGCACGGAAACCTCGCGGTCCGACCCAAACCTTGATGAAGCTCGTTTGTTCTAGCTTGTATCTAGGCGAACTGTACCCCAAGATCGTTGCTGGATTTTAGTTTATAGGCAAGAGCCATCGTCTGTCTTAGAGTTAGACTACAGTTTAGAAATCACGAGTGCGGCGTCGCGCATCACCAGACACATGGAAACTTTGGTAGGTTTGACGGCGCCACTCCGACTCCTCCCGCAAAGGGAGGCCCTTCCAGTACCAGCGACGGGCAACCGCCGGGAAACACACATCGTTGGGAAAAGCCCACTCGCGGTCGACCCGCCAACAAAACGGGCCGATGTCTCGGGAGAGTGCCAAACTCGGGAGATAACCACCAGGTTCAAGCGAGCAACGAGGCGAGGCTGCTCGTTATTGAATCTAGAGTCGGTCGGTGCTCCGTGCCGCGTTCACGATAGATTAATGGCGCCTGTCGTCGAGTTACACAGCGTGTATTCGCCTGTTGCTCGAGAGAGGTTGCCTGCTAGATGTGCAGGTCGCGTCTCGCAAGGTCCTTCGAGTGGTCTGGGGTTCTGTATCCCGAAGGTCCCCATAGTGTTGCAGATGTTGGCAATGATGGGGGACAGGTACATGAGACGCACGAATATTGGACAAGCCGCGTCCTGCATCATCTTGCAGCTGGGGCGCGTAAACGATGCACAGCATAGTCATTGGGGAGACGAGTGGTGCTATACTCTAGCATATATGAAGTCTGGATGCCTTCGATGCATTACGTTGTGCTATATCGTTGATCAACGCTGCTGCTACCTGGGGAGTGCATCGTCGATGCATACTTGTTGAGGATTATGTGCAACGCTGTATTGTTTATTGAGGCTGACAGCCGTTTCGAGGGCAAAGCGATGCAGCGCATGGCCCGCTCCCTGGCAATGTCGCCATCTTTCGCAATCACAAAGTGCGTGCGGTTATTGTGGGGAAGGGTATCTTTCACGGGCCACATCTGTTTTTGGGTACCGCATTGGTCGCGCTGCTGTAATTGCACCCGTGATTGCAGTATCATGAATCGCGCGTCATGGTAAAGGAGGCACACTAGAGAAGTTGAATTTCAAGGGACCTCGTTAACCGCGAGGATCTTGCGATAAGGCCAAACTGTTCCTGCAGAAAGCCTGTAAGTATCAAGGAGTTCGCTTGGTGGCTTGTCTAGGGCATGTCGTACAGGAACCTTGGAAAAAGCAGCGTGGGGGCTGTCTCTCTGGCAGGTCATGCAGGCTGCTCGTGTTGGAGCACGTCGGCCAAGTGACTTGCAGCTGAGGGCGGCTTCGTCATTCGTCCGTCTGGACATGGACACTGTGAAGGCTGCAGCCACTTGCAGGACGTATGCTTTGGTAGGATTGCGGTTGCCTGCACCGAGCGTCTTATCTCGCTTGGTGTGAGCTGGAGAAGCTGGAAGAGTGTTGCTCTGCACACTGCACAGATTGCGCAAGCCATGAGCAGTTAGACGAACAAGCGAACATGCGTTCCTACTACCGTTTGATACTCATTTCGCCTTCGCCGGCCCCCGATGGAGGCAGCAAGCCATGACCATGAGTCCAGGTCGGTCTGCTCCTGACTTTTTAGGGAAAAGAGGCTTGAGGCGCTCAGCAAGAAGCGAAGCGTCAAGGTCCTCCAGGCGCCTGTCTGGACAGCGGATTAGGCATAGAGCCGCGCGGAAATTAAAGAGGAGTTGTGTTGAGGAATTGTGAAAGGGCTCAGCAGGCGGCAGTTCTGAGGGTGGTGTGTCGTGCATAGTGTTGAAGATCGCCGCTGCAACCCGTAGCCGTACTCCCGTATGTGGAAGAGAGTGGTTTGCAGGCCAGAGATAACGTCTTGGATCAAGGCTGTTCGTGATTAGGCATGCGGGTGCAGAACGAGACACTTGGTCGGAACTAGCTGCATAGTCAGGACGAGGTGGGTGCGGTTTCTGTCCGTCGCCACGAGGATCAGTATGGTTCCTCAGCACTGCGTGTGCCAGATGGACGGCTTACGGAAGGCGGCTGGGTTAGAGGAAGAATTTGACTTGGTGCAGGGCTGAGGGTGAGACAGAAAGCTAGCGCGTGCAAATAATGGCTCTGGGGAGGCGTGTGTTATCACCGAAGATAGCGAAAAGCGGGCCTAACGCTGGGGCAGGCGATTCGGCTATGGTCGTGGATGGCAGCATGGGATTGGAGAGGGAGTGGGAGAGGGACATGGGAGGGCGCTCATGACTGCTGAAACCGATAACTGGCCCGCCGCCATATGGCTGCAAGAGGAAGCCTCGTACCTAGATTTGCACGTCAGTCATCTGCGCGTCCGGCGCAGGGCCGGGCAGATGACTAGCGAGGGGATTCCGTCATGGAGCGACGTTTTCGCGTCGCGCTGCTATCACGCAACTCGGGCGGAGGTGGAGGGTGGTGTCACCAGATGGCGCGACTATCACTGCTCACTACGCAAGCCGGCTGCTCTTGCCCCCGCGGCCGAAAATTCTACGCTCTGCTGGCTGCAGCATCGAGCAGCTCACAGCGCCGTGAGGGCCGTCGTTCGCGGCGGCAGAGCGAATGGCGGCAGCACAGCACCGTGGTGGCCCAAGCAGCGTGCAGAGCGTGCAGCTGGCGAGGGATGGCACTGGACCTGTTCGGCGGAGGCGCTAGGGAGTGCATGGGTGCGTGGTGCAGGTGCAGGTGGTGGTGCTGAGGGGTGCGGGCTTACAGCGCTTCGAACAAATATCAGTATTGTGGAGAGGCGACAGGGGTGCGTCTCCCGTGGACCCTGCAACCCAAGCCTGCTAGGGTGGTCGGTGGTCAGCCGTGAAGTGCCTGAGCGCGACTTAAGTATATGGGGCTCATCCTCCCGCTGCTCCACACGGTCCTGCCGCTCACCAACTTGACTACCTCATGACTCCCACTTGACTCTCCATAGCAAGTCATAAACAAGTCGTCCCTCCTGAGTCCAGCTACTTCAACTACACTCACCCACCAACACTCCACCCCGATATCATCTCGTCGGCGGCTATACCATCATCAACAACACTACTACCACTACCTCCACCACCACCTCACCAACACACCACCGCAATGGCTTCCCAGATGGAGTGCTTCAACGACTTCTGCCTGTCCTGCGACCGCCAGATCGCTGAAAACGGCGTCTACTGCTCCCAATCGTGCCGCCTCGTCGACATGGAGCGGGCTGGCAGCACAGCACAAGCACCCTCGCAACTGTCATCATCCGCTTCCTCGTCGTCCTCGTCCAACAACGGCTTCTACCTCGCCCCCGCAATCAACTTCTCCGCATACAAGGGAGCCTCGAGTTCACAAGTGCCACCAGCGAGCCCGTACCACTACTACCCAACCGCAAATGGCAGCTACTTCGCACCACCAACCGCAACGAGGCCCTCCCCACAGCGCAGCCTGACGCCCTCGTCGTCACGATCGTCTCTAGCCTCGCAATCTTCCCAGTCCCAGTCCGGCATCTCGCAACAAGCGGCAACCCAACTCAACAGCTACATGCGCTCCTTTGACCAAACACGCGACGTCAAGAGGCGGTACACGCAGTACTAGACTTGTTAAGTCCGCTGCTTTTGGAGTTTGGTTTCACGACAATTACGACACCCGACCAAGACGTCTTGTCTTTCTTTCGGTTTCTCTCTGTTCTCTTGTATTTTGCATCAGTCTCGGACCTTGGGGGTCGAGACTGGCATGGGTCCACGGAGTACACCTGCATATCCACCACCGTTGCGCTGCGTTCTAGTTCTGTACCCTTTCCTTTGTTGTCATACGTGGACGCAGTGTACGATTAAAAGTATTTATATATCCCCTTGGTGTATAGGGGTCTTTGTTACGAGCATCTTGCCCCGGCGTGGGTGGGTGACTGGGGTCACTCTGCACATGCGATTGCATCACGGCCACTGTGGCCAGGACGGTTGGGAATTCCTCTCACTCGGCCGGCGTTGAATGTCGCGCCTGTTTTCCGCTCTAGCTATAGCGTAGTAGTAGCTGTCTCAAATGGACGCAACGGCCATGGGCATAGACTCATGGCGACAAGACACAAACTTTTTGCCTCTGCTCCACTTGTTCTCGGTGATACTCAGATGACAGCCTCGCGCAACCGCCTGTCCAACCCCATCCTGTCTCACTATCGACGCAGATCGCGCCAACCCCTCACCAACACGTGACGGGCTCCCTTTGGCATAGTGTTTGGCTCGAGATAAGCACAAGCCTCTCAGACGTGCACAGATGAGACACGGCCGGGCCCAGTGCTGCGTCTCTCGATATTCCCGTGGCGCTTTATAGTTTGCATGTTGCGCAGTACGTGGTCAGAGTGCGAGGACGAGGCACGGCTGGCCTCTCCACCGGTATGCCTCTGGCTGTGCGACGCTCGCCAGGAAGAATTTTCACAGACTTCAGGCATGATCCAGATGTCAGCCACACTCAACAACGTTCGCAGCAAGTGATCGCTGGTGGCGATAAACACCGAGCAGACACACATGGACGCTGTTGAGAGGTCCACGGGTTCCAGCAGGCAGGAAGCACCCACTTGGTCGCAGCGCCCTTGCCTTGGGTATGGGCAGAGGGCCCTCCAGCACTTCAAACACCAACCTGCATGCCCACGGCCGCGTCCGGGGCGTGCCATTGGCGACTTGCGCTGCAGGTGGGCATGCTGCTGCTTGGCTTCTCCGCATTTCTGTGTGAACGGGCCGTAGCTTGCCATGGGTCTCTACCGGTGACAGGGCTCATCCCGCCAGTCGTTATGCGAGCTGCGCGCAACAAAAAGCAACTTATCCCACGCTTCGTCATGCGGCATTTGCAAAGGTGAGGGGAAGTCACGATGGCGCAACGCGGCCAGCCATGCTCGCGTTGCCTGTTTCGTCATGTCGTCTGTCGTATGTCGCTGTCGTCCAAGTCGCAGCCCGCATTTGTCACGGCAGCGCCCGATTGCCGCCTCATCGAAGAATTTTCCATCTGCTCAAGCAGCGCCTTGACGCTCTCACGGTCCTCTTCCGCCACGCCAGCTCATCCGGCTCCACTTCGCAAGCGAGCCCCAGGATCAGTTGTCAACACTTTGCGCAGCTTTGCCCTTTGACGTCCGTCCAGGCCATGGCGAGACGGCGGCATCCTGCCACTCCGACCATTAGGTCATCGCGCGTGTGCGACATGCGACGCACACGGCTCGAACGACATGAACGCAGCCATCCCAGACTCACACCACTCACAGCTCACCTCGCTTACACTTGGGGCATAGTCGACTGTTCCGAGATCCGACGACTTCACAGAATCGATAACCGCCACGGGCCGCGTCAAACATTCCCAAGCACCTTATGCTCAGCCAAAGGACCGATACTGGTCGCTGTTTTGCATCCATACAAAATGCTGGGTTCCCCCTCCGGTTGCGATGGCAGCTAAGGGTGCAGCTGCTACTGTAAAGTTAGGTCCGGGTCTTCAGGCATCCAGCCAAAAACCACGGGTCGACAAGGCTCGGAGACAACGAACAACTCCCCGACATGCCTTCGGAGTTGCGCAATGCCATGTTGAGCCTCCTCGAGACCCCCTGAGCCTAGCCTCGCTACCAGTGTGTGACCAAAAGCAAAATGGCTTCACCAAACATCAATGACTGGTTCTCCTCGCCTGCGTGCAGATTGCCCGCGATCTCCGAGGATCATCGCGGAAAAGCGTGACGACGCACTCAATATGGTCGCTCGCTTCCCAAGAGACTTCGCTTAGAAGCTATTGAATGTATCTCGCTATTGCGCAAGCTCCGGCCAGAGTTGGCAGTCGATCCAGACTGCTGTTGTAGTACGCTGATCCTCAATAACCTGGGGAAAGCCTGATGTTTGGCTGAACAACGGGAAACCCTCAAGTCACAGACGCAGGAGTGACCTCCACCTACACTGCATCTGGACCCTAATCGCGCGATGCAAGGGACCGATCGCTGACATTCATCGAACACACCCTGACAATTCCAGAATTGACTCGCAACGAAATGCAGGCACGCACATGTTGCCCCGAAAGGCAGGCAGGCGGGAATGCGCGTGCAATCTGTCAGTGTCAGGCGTCATCAGTATTGTCAAGATCTGGCGGAAGCCATTACCAACCTATCATACATTCTCGCTTATCGAGCTATCTCTGATCGGCGCATGTGCCGTTCAGGAACACTCAGATCCTTCACGTCCCTTCGGATCGTGCCAGATTGGGGATTCAATTTCAGTCATTCGGGCCATTATGCTTTCCCAGCAGTTCCTGACCGCGAGGAAAGCGTGGGTACGACGACAACTGACTCGGCATTGGGCTGGCATGAAGCGCACGATGGCGTCACGAGAGAATCCCAAATGGCCGTGAAGCGCACGCCGCGGACCTCGCGCTTGACTCGTACTGATAAGATCTGGCGGCTCGTAGCTCCATCCTCTGCGGGGTTTCTCGGTACGCGCCGACACGCATCAGATCTCGATACTTCAAGGTATCCCTTGTGATGTTGAGACAATTGGCGAGAACCGCGAGCTAGAAGCTTTTGTTTGACACACATGAGGCTGCATTCCCAAGAGCTAAGGCGTAGACTGGGTCGCAACGTCTTTCGTTGTTCTCCCTTACTTCCTTGACACGCTGGACGTAACGGTGCGGCTGAAAGTACCGCCTCGACCCACGTGGAAACAAGATCGAAGAGATCGCACGACACCATCACAATGTCGCACAATCCAATGCCTATCACATATTTGCCTGTCAGTCATACGCCAATTGATCTGCGTGGGATGTCAAACCAGACCAGGAGCGTGCCGAGCCAGTCGATGCCACGGCACATGTACCCGCGACGAATCGTGACTTCTGCATGATGTGTTCGCAAAGTACAGAACAAGTGCCCAATCTCCGACGTGTCTCAACACAATGACGCTATGGGACGGACACGCTGCCATGTGCACAAACGAGCGGTAAGGGACTCCGCCCAATACCAGACCGTCGGGCAGCAGCCGCGGTGCCAACCGGACGCTTGACGATAGTGTCCTGGTGGAGTATGCATTGCCGTTCAACGATGATGCTGCCTCACTCAAAGTCAAACCGCAAGAACCTTGGAAGTAATTTTGCTGCTAAAGCCGCGTGGGATGGTAAGGCCCGACTCTATGGCGCTAATTGAAGATCCAAAGTGCAAGACATGCAAGTCCATGTGCCGACGCAAGCGCTGCGAAACACTTCATGGCATGAGACTCTATGAAGAGTTTTCATGGCCAGCTGGGCCTTCTCGAATGTTGTTGCCAGGGGCAAGTCAAAGCTGTCAAAGATGTCAAATCGTTGAGGGCCAGACCTTGGAACCGGGAAACTTAGACTGGCAGATTGGAGGACACAAGACATATGTTGAACGTTTGAAGCTAACACTCGAAGATGTATGGCTCAAATTGTAAGTTGTTGAACAAAATAAGAGCAGAGCATTGGTGCAGCCCTGGAAACGAAATACACCGGGTCTGATCTGTATTCAACCCACCTGGCCAAAGGAAAAGACGAGATGCAATCGCCGTGGTTCCAACTCCAAAGAAAACCTCCAGTCGACCATCGGAGGACGAGGTAATGACAGTTGGCAACGCCAAAAATAAGATGAACCCAACCCTAGCAAGAAGTAAGAAGAGACCTGGAGAGTATACCAACACCTTCCATATCCAAGACACCAAACATAATCCCCGAATAAGAAGCCGAACCAGAAGATGTCTCGCAAGACCTTTCAAACACCCATCAACTTCTTCCTTTGCCTCTCAGCCCACTCTCTACTCGCGATGCGGCCCCTCTCTGCAGCTTCCGCTCGCGCTCGCTTGGCAGCTTCTTCCTTCTCGCGCCTCTCTCGCTCGCGAGCTTCTTTCTCCATGCGATCGCGGTTGAAGACTTCTCGGCCCTTGACCTTTTGTTGCGCGGCGTCGACGGGCGTGACGATGGCTTTGGGAACGATAACGCTGTTGCGGTTTGCCGAGGAAGTCGAGGTGGAGCGGGATTGAGATGGCGGTTGCGACAGCGACATGCTGCTGCGCTTGCTAGCCAGCGAAGATGCACGTTGAGCCTGGGGTTGGGGCTGGAGCTGGGTCTGAGGTGCTTGGGGTGGTTGTGGAGGCGCAATGGTAACACCTGGTTGCTGTCTGATAGGAACGGTCACTGGCTTGCGCACTGGTGCTTGTCGTGTCTTGAGAGCAGCCTCCTTCTTCGCTGCTTCCGCTTCTTCCATTCGCTTCAGACGCTCTTCCTTTTTAATCCTTAGCTTCTCAGCGACGGCTGAACCGGGGAGCTCGAAAGTCGCCTTTGTCAGTGCTTTCGTCGACTTTGCATGGGGAGCCATGCTAATGCTAACAGGACGCTGCTTAGGTGCCATGCTGATGCTAACGGGGCGCTGCTTTGGTGCTGGCTGTGCAGGTGCTTCGGCTTCCCTCTTCAACCGCTCCTCCTTTTGTGCCTTGAGCTTCTCAGCAATCCTCTCGCCAGGGAGTTGGAACGCAGGCTTCGTCAGGGGCTTATCGGATTTCGGTGGAGGAGGCATGCTAATAGGTCGTGGTTTGCGAACCACACCCTCTGTCTCTCTCTTCTGACGTTCCTCCTTCTGGGCCTTCAGTTTGGCGACAACATCGTTACTTGAAAGCTGGAAGGTGGCCTTTGTGGGCGCGCGACCCTTTGGTGGTGCTGCAGGTGTGGGGAATGACATACTGATCGGCCGGCGTTTCGAGGCAAGGTAATCTACTGTATCCGTGGAATCTACTCTAACATCTTTGTTAGGCGCTGTGCGGACACTGGACGCGCGAGCCATCGAAGACTTCACTGGCTTCATGCTCTTAGGCGCAGCAACACTGGGTGTCCTCGATAGCTTGGCAGCAGGCGCAGGCACTGGCCCTTTTCCGAGCGCCTTCGATCGCATCGTCTGTGTGGTAGCTGCTTTTGGAAACTCTGCCTTCTGAGGCGACATCACTTCATTGGCATGGTTGAAGCTGGTGACTGAGGTCACATTCTCCAGTGCCTCCTCAAGCGCATCAATGGCGCCAAAAGATTCCTCCAGGCGCATTGGCGATTTCGAGGGGCTGCGCGACGCTCGTCGGCTGGACGTATGGCTCCGGAGTGGTGTCATAGCATCTTCGCTTGGCCTCTCGGCTACAAGTGTCTTGGGCTCCGGTTCTGAGCTCACTTCGACTGAGGGTGCAGGGACTTCAGCGTCAGCTTCAAGCACTTGATTCTCAGACGAATCCTCAGTCGCTGTTGCCTCGACGGGTTGCTCCTCGCAATGGGGCTCATCGATCCGCGGCACTGACGCAGTATGCTCCGTCTGTACAGTGTCGGCTTTTTCTTGAGGCGCTTCCTCTACCTCCGGTATGGCCTCATCTTGCGCTTCCTCTCTAGGCTCTACCGTAGCTCGCACTTCAACCTCCTGTATCGGTTCCTGTAGGTGACTCTCAACCTGCGCTTCTTCTGCGCCTGTTGTTGCATCCTCAGACGATGTCTCCTCGGGCGCATGTGCTTCTGCGGTCGTTTCCACAGTCGAAGGCACCTCCTCTGCAACTGGCGCTGGTTCTGGCTCTTGTGATTGGGCGCTGAGCTTCGCTTGTTTCGCTTCCTCCTCCTGCATAGCCAGTTGTCGGCGTGTCAATCGCGGCGCTGGAGTCACGGGTCGCTCGGTGATTGCGGGGGCTTCTGAGGCTCCTGTACACCATTAGTCCACGGTCGTTGGTCTGGAGCGGCTGCGAACTCACCATCGGAAGCGTCTTTGGAAACATCGTCGCCAGTTGGTTCGTTCGTGGGCGCTTCATCTGCGGCTTGCTCCTCTTCAGGTGCGGCTCCGGTCTGCTCCTCTTCATCCTCCTCAGCCGCTTTGCCCTTCTTTCCCTTTTTCGCCCGGCCTTTGCCCTTCGCCTTCTTTCCTGGAGTCTTTGCGGGCGTCTTCGCGGGTGTCTTCGGGACTAGCTCCTCGTCATCCTGGCGGGTCTGCTTGGGCGACGCATTTGAGGAAATTTGATTCAAGGGTGCACGCTCGGTCGCGTCGGTCGCATCATCGTTGCCCTGTTGGGCGCGGGCGCGTGTGACACGCATTGAAATGTTCAAGGCGTCAGATAAATCTTGTCGTATAATTGTATCGAGCTGTCTATGCGCTGCTAGGATGCATTGATAGCGAATTGGTATCGTGTTGACGCTCGAGTGTTGATGCTGCACGAGAGTGGGCCCGATCATAACAAACATCCCTGCCGAGTAAAGTCCAGCCGTTTTCTCGCGAGCACGTGACGAGCGCATGTTCACCCGCCACGCGACCGAATCGCGGACCCGTGGCACCCCACGATTCAGCAACTCCCGGGTCCGCATCCGTGCGAGTAGAAGTGTCTTTTCGTTCCGTAAATTTATGAGCGGCCATCCATAGACCCCTTATTTGTCAATCGCATCTCCAAATTCCTTCCCAGTCTCTCATTACTATCAGTAACTAATTTTCTTTTCTCTGACGCGTCCTCGTCTCCTGAACACGAACAAATAGTCGCAGATTGTCGCAATTGGCATAACGCAGCAACCGTTCGTGTCTATCAAAGCCACTTTCATCCATCGCGCGTCTCCGATCACCGGATGTTTGCAGCCCCGCGGTTGCGTCTCCTAGCCGTGAACAGCCGCCTTCAACCCCGCCCAAGCATGTCGTCACCTCGTGCGCGCGCTGGCTCCCGCCTTACACAGATCTCCAAGCATTTAGACTCGAAGCCCTTTCTCGAATTGAACACTCCCTTCTCCACTGAACGCACCGCCCGCATCGAAGACGAACAAGGCAATCGCATACCTCCCAAGAAGGCCGAAGAGTTCAAGCAGGAAGCCAAGAAGGAAATCAAGAAGGAAGTAGAGCAGGTCAAGAAGCTTGCGCCGGAACCCCCCAAGAAGATGTCGAGCCAAGCACCACACCCTGCCCTGCTCATTCCTGGGCCCATTGAGTTTGACGATGCCGTACTTTCGTCCATGAGCCATTACAGGTAAGACTCCTTCGTCGCAATTACGGTTCATGCTGTTCGCAATTGCTAACCTCATTAGTGAATCGCATGTCGGCCAACCCTTTGTAAACACCTTCAGCGAAGTCCTCGGAAACCTGCGCAAGCTGTTCCTGTCCAGCGACCCTGCCGCGCAACCCTTCGTCATCTCTGGCTCTGGCACACTCGGATGGGACCAGGTAGCGGCCAACTTGGTAGAGCCCGGCGATGAGGTGCTCGTCCTACACACCGGCTACTTTGCCGACTCGTTCGCCGACTGCTTCGAGACCTACGGTGTTAAGGCTACACAGCTCAAAGCGCCCATTGGCGACCGACCACAACTCGATGAGGTGGAGAAGGCACTGAAGGAGAAGGAGTACAAGATCCTGACCGTCACCCACGTCGACACGTCGACTGGTGTGCTCAGCGAGATCAAGGCATTGAGCGAGCTTGTCCACAGGGTCAGCCCCGAGACATTGGTCGTAGTCGACGGTGTCTGCAGTGTTGGCTCCGAAGAGATCCGCTTCGACGAGTGGAAGCTCGATGCCGTCATCACGGCTTCGCAAAAGGGCATTGGCTGCCCAGCTGGTCTGAGCATCATGATGGTATCTGGCCGCGCGATTGAGAGGTTCAAGGCGAGGAAGACACGACCAACTTCTTACTTCGGCTCATGGAAGAACTGGTTGCCCAGTGAGTATCTCAAGTCCCCAATACAAGCACATCAATGGAACTAACAAAACCGCAGTCATGCAAAACTACGAAGCCAAGAAGGCGTCCTACTTCGCTACACCCTCCCCACAACTCATCCACGCGCTCGACACTGCACTCAAACAGATCCTCGCCCGACCCGTCGAAGACTACTGGGCCGCACACAAGACCGCGTCGCAAAAGGTCAAGAAGGCTGTTGCTGATCTTGGTCTCAAGCAGCTTGCTTCCAAGCCTGAGAACCAGGCCACTGGTATGACCGCCATTTACCTACCTGAAGGTATGACACCTCCGGACGTTCTGCCCAACCTCATGAAGAAGGGTGTCATCTTCGCTGGTGGTCTGCACAAGGAGATCGCAACCAAGTACATTCGCTTCGGACACATGGGCGTCAGCGTCACCGACCCGAACCGACCAGACATCACCAAGGCGATTGAGAGCCTGAAGGAGGGTCTGGCGGAGGCTGGCTACAAAGCATAGCCGATGAGAACTACAACTCTACGAAGGAATTGATCTAGTATACCATGTACCGAACTATCCGTTCGAAACAAGCTTTCGCATACTACTACTATCTGTACATAAACGGAAACTCAAAAATAGAACACAAAATTCACTACCAGGCCGCTGGTGCAGCGTGATGATGAGTACAGTGGCTATGCCAAATCCTTCAAACCGGCAGCTCTCCACCAACGACAGCGACACAGACTCTACTGTACATGCCCGAGGCAAATATCGATCGCTAACTCACTGAGATCAACCAAACTAGCCTACACGAGGCTAAGTTGCCAAGATTGCCCAGGAACAGCAACCTATGACACGAACTGCCGGCCCGTTGCCACCGAATGAAATCATCGAATTCTCTCCACACCACCACGCCTCTAACAGTCCAAGATGCGGCAAGTGGGTCTGGCAAGGCTGTGTTCCTGGTGATGTATTCCGATGATGAATGGGCTTTTGGGAATAACGTACTTAATTCCCCCGATGCAGCGGCGTGTCTTCGGTGTTCAGTAATTGCTGTGAAGCCATTGCGCATCGTTGCCATTTTTCTCTTGCATTATTATCCTTTCAATCCTCTAGCTCTATTCTCGTAGCTAGCAAGCATTGCCCAGAAACACAGCCGTGGCTGTGGTGAGGATTGAAGTTCCTCTCTTTCGTGATGACGTCTACATCGCGAAGCCTACAACACACTTGGGACACGGCATGGGCGACTGCACCACCTCAAGCATGCGCTACCCTACGCAATCTCAACGGCGCCGTCGCATGGGGCGAGACATGCGTCTTCCCTGAAGAAGACGAGGATCCGATACCCTTCAGCATAAATACGGCTTGCATGCCCTGGGTGACATCGAATATCTACCCATCGCCATCCGCATTCTACTCCCCCGCTACCGCATGCCCAGCTTCCTGGACGGCCGTTGCTACACAAACAGACGCGAATGGAGAGGGCAGTGACAACAGGTGGATAGACGGAGAGATTGGGTTGCAGTGTTGTCCCAATGGGTTTCAGGCAGATGGAAGAGATGGGTGTCGACCGGGAGGTAGTGGCAACTTCCCAGTTGTTGAATGCGGAGAAGCGGACGCGGAGGAGAACGAATCGAGGACATATGCTGGCGGATCATGGCCAGCGAGCGCGACACCGAGTATCACTGCGTTGCACTTGAGGTATCAGCCTAGTGATGCCGGCAGTGTAAATCCGACTGCCTCGAACACAGCGACTGGTGCATCCGCAAGTAACAGTGGTGGGAGTCAGGGAGGAGGAAGTGGCGGTGACAGCAACGGCAGTGGGAATGGAATCTCAACAGGTGCCATCGCAGCGATAGCCACCGTCATCCCACTCGTCATGATCCTCGGAGCATTAGCCCTATTCCTCCTCTGGCGTCGACGAAAGAAGAACAGAAAAGCAGCCCTTGCATCAAAGCACATGGGAGATGAGAAAGACGATGACCCAACAAGGCCCGCCGACGACAACGCAAATCACTCCCCATCCGCTTACCACGCCATACCCAAAGGCACGACCGCAGCCCACTACGCCAACCCATCACAAAACCCATATGAGACCCCCGAATGGAATGTCGAGATGGATGCTACAGAAGCTGAGCGTCAGAAATTGGCTAGTACTGCACCGGCATATGGGAGTTCTACGGTGGAAACGACTCCGGTGAACGGAGAAGGAGCGACGGAACTTGCGGGGTTGGCGAGGGTGCCGAGGAAACCTATTGCGCCGGTGGAAATTGATGGTAATGCTGTTATACCGGAGGTGGGGGATGCGTATATTCCGTATCGGCCTGGGAGAGAGGGGAGCTAGGAGAAGTAGGAGATTGATACCCATTCATTCAATTCATCATTATTATTTGGTTGTAAGTTAGGTTCTTCATGGCAAGGCTGTGATGCGTGCTGTCTTTCCATGGCTGCCTTGCTCCGGTTGCGATTATGCCTTGGAGTGCGCCCTGGCTACGCAGGCTGAGTATAGAGCTCGCTCTTTCACACTCATGCGCCTCGTATGTTCTTTTCGACACCGGTTCTTGCGGATACCGATAGTGAACTTTGAGCGATTTATGCACCTGTACGTTGCGTTGGCCTCTCTAGATCCAATTGACCTCCAAGGCTGAACTCAGCAAGGAGGCTGACTTCGGCACGCGGGGAGGCTCTCTGCCTGAGGCTGAGATTAATGTTTCTCTGATTGGCCTTGTTTGAATAGCGAGCGTCATTGGAGCTCAAACCTGATGTTGTGCGAGCTGAGTATCGGGCTATGTTGATGTTCTCCGCACCGGTGAGAGCCTCATTTGCCCTGCTGATGAACTTTATTCTTCGGGGAAATCTCTTAATGTGTGTACTATCCAATCATATCCCCAGAACTCATAGCTAGTGTGTTGGATTATGGCTATGTATGTGATCATTGGGTGCTTTACGACACAGCGTCAACGCAATGTCAGCATCAATGAGACCTCGGGACTCTCTGATCTCTTCCTGTATCAAACGCTAACCCGAACAGATGCCTCGAGCCTGATATTCGTCATTTGAGAAGACATACCTCAAGTACCAAGACGTGAATGTATAAAAGCTCCGCTACACCCATGTGTATGTGTCAAAAAGCTTTCATGCGTTTCCTCACAGTGCCAAAAAGGTGCATACCATCGAGAAAATGTATAAGACCCTGGGGGTACGGATATGCTATGATAATGCCATCCACTTCAACTTGTGTCTACTAAGTCTCTTTTCGCCTTTGGTATTTGCACTGACTTGGCTTACTACTATCTTCTTGCCTCGGTTGCCTTACTGCTTGCCTACTTCGCCCTCCTGCCACTCGTACCTCTCCAATAAGGCATCCAATGTCTAACGCAGACAGCTCTACAGAGCTTGCCTTGCAGATATGCTTCGGTACATTTGGTGTCTTGAGTACCGTTGCTACCCTAGCTGGTCTTCACCACCATGATTCGCTTGGCTGCGTCTTACTTCGACGCCTAAGAGGCCGTCATATCACTCGTACGTGTCATATGCAATGGGCCTATAAGACATGTGTCTGACCACATCCTAAGATGCCCATGACCTGGAGGTAGAGGCCACCAATACCAGCCTTGAGGATCTTGACGTCATTGCCGACTGATCGATCCCACCCGTGAGGAGACCAACACTACCACCTTCCTACAAGCAGTCCGGTGAGAGCTCCCAGTTTGGGGGCTTTCTGAATGCCGACATCGATGTTGGTCCTTCCAAAAGTGAGCCTGATATCTCACAACATTGAGTAGAAGATGAAAGGACTCATGCGTCTGAGTTGTCAGCTGGTATGTTTCCTGTGGAAAGAAGGCTTGGAGAATCATCATGGCGTATCTCTCTGTCATGCAAATGTCGTGTACATTTGCCCACTGTTGGTTCGGTACATACGCGAGAAGCTCCGAGGATAGGTGTACTCCAGTATTCGTTGTGCAAAGACAATCGAAATCATGTTGCCATTTTTATCGCTTCTTTTCGCAGTAAAATTGTATTCTCAGCAGTTCAGAATGTTCAAGTAGAACAAAGCGCAGATACAGGGAGAGATGCTCGTCATTGCTACAAGATGGGACGGAAAACAAAACAGCAGCGTATCCGTAGCGACAGTAGCAAACAAAACACCAGATTATGGAATACAAAGGAAACTACGACAGCCTAACTACTTCCAGGTTTTATCTAGGAAATGGGTTTCTGTTTGGCTACGATCCAAGAGAATGTAGGTCAGCGATCTGAACCTCTTCTTGGTCAACCATGTCTGTCCTTCGATACAAGAATCTATGCAGCGACAAGATAGGAAAGAAAGAAGAAGGTCGTCTTTGAGCCGAAGCGATATACACTTGAGGTATGCGACATCTCAGAAGTGTCTTCTCGGCTTCACGAGACCGAACTTTTCAGCATCCCCTCGCCCCAGTACCACATCGTATGCGGGATTCTCTGTAGTTGTCACCCAAAACCGGGTCTCTTGTATATGCTTGGTATTGCTTCCGAAGCACCAAGTCAAGTCGACATATCCTTCCACCCCTTCGCCTCGATGGTTGGCGAGAACGCACTCCGTTTTTTCGTTCGTATGCACTGGAACATCCAGTACCTGCAACATGGGCCGTGATATGATGCTTGTCGTTGTATTTGGATCGCATGAGAGGACAGCTACCTCCCAGGTTTCCAAGCTACCCTTTGTTCGAGAGCAGATCTCGATTTGGGCCGGCTGAGGGATTCGTTGTCTTCGCTGGATCTCGTTAACAATGACCGATGACGGTGGAGGACAACGCACACCAAATGACAACAACCTGGAGAGTCCACAATCGTACATGTTTTGGTAGTCAATTGAGTTGTGGGTGGTATTTCACGCGAGAATGCGATAGCGTTGTTGATGCGTTTGAATCGAGACCTAGGTTTTGAGTGTAATGAGTAAGGAGGTCCTCCAAAAAGTGAGGCATGCCCTCCGCATATAAAAGCGGCCAATAGCCCAAGGCACGTATTCGGTCGCGCATGCGGGTCCTGTGTATTACCCTGAGGAACTGCGCAAATGGCAAAGTGAACAACATGAGGACTCAGATGCGCAGCGCAAGCAGGACAAATCCAATGAGCATCTTCAGTGTCCTCTAGTGGCGCAGTCATCATCCCACTGATACGTGATTGAATCACCGGAGCAAACTGATCTCGACTGTTTTTGCGTCACTGCCTGAAAGAAGGCAACCATTGCCTGTTCCTGGAGTAGTCAGCTGGGCGCAGCAGCAGGGCATGTTCTTTACCGATCAGTATTCCAGTATAGCCTCGTCATCCAAGTTCAGATTTTCAAAACGGTGATCATTCTCATCTTTGTTTTTCCCATCCTGCACCTGAAGTGACAGACGATGTGGAAACGATAAGTCTCGCAGATGCGTTCTTGTTGTGTAGAGTTAAATGCAGGCGACCTCCAGGGCTGCGATGGACGCGCGTGACCTGACTGTGCAGGTGCCCCCGGGGCCGCCCGGGAGGCAACCACTAGTGCG